GAGGCGAGCCGACCTGGCCGGGGCTGACGGGGGGCGGGTGCGGAGAGCCAGCCCCGGTGCGGTGAGGCCTCTGTCGGAGCTCTTCTCCCTTAACCCCCCCGGTAACCTGGCACTCGGGGTGGGTTTCAGTGGGCTGGGGCTGCTGGTGGGGTCTGAAGGGAACGAGTCGCTGCGCCCTTCACTCCCACGGAGGGAGCAGGCTCGGGTCTGAGCACGTCTGGGTCTTGCTCGCATTGCAGCCTGGTGCCACGGGCACTCCGCTGTGGGACTGGGAAGCGGGACAGGCCTGCTTTTAACTCTACACCAGCTTCGAGTCCAAGGGTTCAAAACCTGTCTGCAGGAGCTGGTTATTGATGAGTCATTTGTGTGCTTTCTTCTCGATAAAGTTAATTCTTTTTGTCACTCCGCATGGTTTTTGGTTGATTAGGCAGGGGGACGTAAAAAAAGTCTTCAAGATCTTGCAAGGGTGCCGTAGGCTCATGAGCGCCGGAGGTCTGGAGGGCTGGCGCTTGAGTTGCAGAGGATTTTGCAACAGCAACCCACAAAGCGCGGAGATTCTTCAGAGCCAGCTGGGGTTCTGGCAGAAACAAAAACACAGATAAAGTCACCAGATCCCGTGACTGGACTCTGATCCTAAAGCAGGAGAAAGGGCAAGGCTTTGGTCTCGCCAAGAAGCAGTAAGAAGAGCCAAAGCCACGGTGCTCTCCTCCAAGGAGCACTGCAGACAAGAGTCTGCTTTGGAGTTGGAGAGGAAGGTTGTAGGAAATCAGTGTGACAGAACTCAGAGGTAGCTTCTGTGGAAATGGGAGGTGGTGGTGGTTTTACAAACTCCAGGCTGATTTTTACCTACTTGCACTCTCTCTCTTGTGGATTTCTAAAGTCGTAGTCAGATACCTGAGCACAGACAAGCCCCAAGACAGGAGTGTTCCAAGTCTGGGCAGGACCATTTGTGTACAACCCAGAGGACAAGGGGTACTGGCTCCTCTGTGCTCCCTGTAGCTCTTTGGCTCTTGACTGGCAACGACAGATAAGCTTTAGGGCAGATCTTTTATGTCTGTTAGGAGTCAGCAGCTGTTACGGGGTGGTTCTCTTGTCCCGGTGCGCTAACAGGAGGCGTAGTGGCATACGTGATGTGATGCAGCCTTGCTGCTATCTTCCTGTTGCCAGAGTGGGAGTCTTCCAGCGAGGTGTGAGTTACCTGGGCTGTAGCCTTTGCAGAGCAGAGGCTTTCTAGAGTGGATGGAAACAGCATGTACCTCAACTAGATCAGCAGTGTTCGTAGTGACGGATGCAGGACTTTTTTTTACTAACCCCAGTTCTGTTTTTTCTGGTGCTTTTGCACAGATGTTTTCATTCCAGTGAATCTTAGTATTACCAAATCTCCTCAAAATGGGGTGACACTTTCTACCTGGCAAGTACCTTGAGCTGTTGTGCGAAACAGGCAGGGGCATAGAGAGCTGCTTCAGACAGAACTTGTTTTTGACAGCTAATGGTGGAAGTGGTTTGTGGCCTATTTTGCAGGGCACCTTGAGTAGTAGCCTGTAAGTAGCAGGCCTAGCTTTGCTGCCCTCTTGACCCTTCTCTTTACACTGTTTCTGGATATAGCATGGACTGTAAAGAAAGCCTGTTATTTTACGTTCTGGTCTAGTCTTTCAGGCTTGTAATTGAACATGCAAGTGCTTGAGCTGCTGGAATATGAGCCTTTAATCCAATCACAGTGGCAAAGCTTTAGGATACTATTAGCAAAGATGTCTTTGCCTGGTTACTTAAAATTTTTGACAGTTGTGTCATTAGAACCAGGAAGTACCCGAAAGTGTAAAATGAGACAAACTGACTTCTTGCAGCATCCACAAGGACTAATCTCCCATTAGAAGGAGTCTGAATTGGCTTGCCTCAGGTCTTTTTTTATGTCTGTGTGCTGGAATAAAAGTGGTGCTGAAGTGATTGGGGCAGCTCCTCAAATGCCTGTATTCTTGAGCAAGAACATACATGATGTGCTGAATGTAAGCCCGTGCTTGAGAAGTCTATAGTCTCAGAGGCAGTGATGAGTGCAGTACAGGAATGCTGAGTGGAGAGTGATGAGTAGAAATAAACTCAAGTGTTATTAAAAATATATGAATATGTTGGCAAGGGAAGCACCTCAGGTTATGAGATGACAGGCTTTGTGGTTTTGTGGCCATCCTGTGAGGAGGGAAAAGACCTGCAAGCAACTAGAGATTACATGCCCGTTTGCTGCAGGCACCCACAGGAATAAGTTGGGTGTTTAGAAATAGGCATTGGATTTTTCGTTTTGTTGCCCAAGTTACTTAAGAGAGCAGTCATGGAGATAACCACGAACCAGGGTGCTGTGGCTGCTGCAGCTTAATTCCACCATTGAGTAAACTGCACATCTGCCTAATAAACTCATTTTGTTCTCCAGCAGCTAGCCAGGAGGTGTAGCACCTCAGTCAGTGTTACATAGCTTGTTAAGAAACTATGGCAGCCTGATTCTGTTTTGTGTTTTACTTTTATCAGATGCCTATGTTCTTCCTTTTTGTAACGCTCGTGTACAAGTCTGTGGTCCAAATTCTTTCTTGGCTGAACTCCAGTGACTTGGTGGGTTTGATCTGTCAGGCTGTTTGGCCTAGAGGTTACTTAAGGTATTGAATTCAGTTATAAAAAACCCTGGGTTTTGTTTTATCGTGTCTCTGCTTCACATGAGGTGTGTCTGCAGCAGAGGGACTAGCCAAAAGTTGAGTTGTAATGAATTAAGAATGGGTCTCTTGTTATGAGGCGCATAACCCATCAAGCTTTTCTGTTACACTTTATAATTTGTTGCTTTTTTCTTTTTTTTTTTTTTTTTTTCCAAAAAAAGCATAATTGATGGAGATATCAGAACACCATCAATTTGAAAATCTGTTGGCTTAGTCTGGAAAATGAGTGTGTAAAATGAGTGGGTTTGTATTTGTTTGTTGTGCAGGCCTGGCAGGATGCTGGACTTGTCCTGTCCACTACCAGCAATGAAGCCTGTAAACTATTTGATGCTGCGCTGACCCAGGTATGACCAAAAAGCGTAAGAAAATGTGATTTGAAGGGACTTGTGCATGAAACAGTCTTTGCTGTAGTTGGTGTTTAAATTTCTTAGCAGCTGGGAGAGCCTCACAATCAGGCTGCTGCAGGAGTTCAGCCCCTGGCAGGCAGCACAAAACCCTTGAAGCAGAGGGCTCTGCCGGATGCTGCAACTGTGGGGAAGACTTCAGTCAGCGTGCTCATCCTGCGTGACGTGGAAGAATCAACCAGTCGACATAAACCACATACAAGTCCACGGTTATTAGTTCTGCTGGTGGCCAAACTACCTTAAAGAAAACAGTTTCTCTGGTTTCCTGCT